GGATTAAATCTGACTCTCATGGTTAGAACCTGTTAAGGCAGATGAAACATCTCTACCATCCCATAGGAATTCTTGGGACAGGTGATACAGGCCTTCTTAAAAAAAAAAAAAAAAAAAAAAAAAAAAAAAACTGCTCTGGGTGCCTAAAGTCCAGAGAAAAAACTTCCAGCAGCAAGATCCAAATCCTAGGGGTGAGGCAAGGCTGGTACTGCCTCTTCAAGTCTGGAATCACCTCCTCTGAACAGCTGACCTGTTTGACAGCTACACCTGACTCAGGTGCTAACACAGAGACGGCACCTCAAACGAGACCTATCCAAGATCAAACTGTGTAAAGGAGTTCTGCTAACCATCCCAGGAACTTCCAAAAGAAATGTCTGTTTCCTGTGCTATTTCATCCACAGAATCAGCTGCCAGTGGATAATAGCTGTGAGGCGCTCTCACCCAGCTCATTCATAAGCCCATGTCCTGCTATGGCAACAGTATAACGGAAGCACCTCCCCCAGAACAGGGGAGAAGCATTTGATGAAGCAGAATAATATAAAGGAGTCCAGAGCTACCACTATGAAAACAAAACCAGAAAGGGACAGAAGTGCATTTATGTAAAAGCCTCTGCAAAAAGAGAAAAAGCAGAAACAATAAAGACGTCACTAATCTAGAGAAAAAATAAACAAATCATGAATGACTGCACAAACTACCTTGCAAATAGTGGAGGATAAATAATTTTTAAAGTATTTTTTAAAGTTGGTTTTCTTTTAAATGATAAAGATCCTTTAAAATTAGGAAAACAATTACTTTTGGTATTTTTTAAAATCTTATTAGTATTTTTGTATATTTTCTATCAGATGTTTAAAACATGTATAGGGTAATTCTTAAAAATCATTATAATAGAGTTTAGTTCATCATAACATGGTTAGAACCTGTTAAGGCAGATGGAAAAACCCAGGAGAAGACTCCCAAAGAGCTGGTCAATGAATGGTCATTGAAGATAAGAAAGGAAATGACAGTTATTGACAGGCAAATAAGAGATATCCAAAGAGAAGAAGAAAAAGTGAACCGATCTGCGAAAGATGCTGCCAAGAAGGGCCAGAAGGATGTCTGTGTAGTTTTGGCCAAGGAGATGATCAAGTCAAGGAAGGCTATGAGCAAACTCTACGCGTCCAAAGCGCACCTGAACTGGGTTCTTATAAATATGAAGAATCAACTTGGCACAGGTCACTCTGTCACCCAGGCTGGAGTGCAGTGATGTCATTATAACTCACAGCAGTGGCTCGGCGCCTGTGGCTCAAGTGGCTAAGGCGCCAGCCATGTACACCCAAGGTGGTGGGTTCAAATCCAGCCCAGGCCTGCCAAACAACAATGACGGCTGCAACCAAAACAAAAATAGCCAGGCGTTGTGGCAGGCGCCTGTGGTCCCAGCTACTTGGGAGGCTGAGGCAGGAGACTCGCTTGAGCCCAGGAGTGGGAGGTTGCTGT